CCCACACCCCGCTTGCCGCCTCAGGACTCCCCAGCTTTGTGTCCCCGGACAAGTCACCGAGCCAGTCTGAACCTCACTGTCCTCATCTGAAACCTCGGGATAGTACTGACACCCATCTCCTAGGCTGTTGTGAGGCTCACGTATAAAATATCCTTAGCATACTGCTTGCCACAATGTAGGCACTAGTGGCATAGTTATTGTTGTTTAGGCAATAGTAGTTCTCTTGCAGAAGATCAAACACCAGTAAGAAGGTAGAAATCCTGGTCTTCTGATCCAAATCCCAGGCTCTTTCTCCTACCACGTGTTCCTCTACTGAATGCTTATTGCTTCCTTCAGCGATTAACATACCACAGTACTGCTTGTGTTATCCAAGGACACTGAAGCGTTCTCCCTCATGATGCAGAGCTGAAGACAAAGGAGCACCACACCTGGAGAATCCTCATGTTGTTTCCCTGCTCTTTGCACTGGCTTGAGAACAAGAGCCCACATATCAGACCATGGCTCAGCTTCCCAAGAACTTTCCAGGAGTTACACTTCTTTGATTCAAAACCAATGTCAGTCCTGCCTCTGAAAGGAATGCCTGTGATTTGACAGGACAGAGGCCACAGCATCTTCTCTGTTTGGTGCTAAATGGTGACATCAACTGTTTGCCTCTCTTTCAAAGTTGTTCTCAAATATTTTGCTCCAACTTCCTCCAAACAAAACAACTGGTGCAGCGGCAAGTCACGCTGGCTTTCTGGGTCACTGCCTCCTCAGATGCACACAACGGGGCACCGGCCCCTGCTTCAACCACCACTGCGCCTGGCCCAGCGCCAGGCTCCTTGGGTACTGACCCTTGTGGAGTCCATAAAGTTAGTTTTCCAGACTAACTTGAGCCTCGCATGAACTTCAGACAAGGAAGCTCTGGACAAATTCATGTTGACTTTCCCACTTCATTTTAAAATAATTTTTTTTTAATTTTCAAAAAGAAACATTCACCAACGTAGACCATATTCTGGGCCATAAAACAAATCTCAACACATTTCAAAGAATTTAAATCAAACAAAGGGATTTCTCTGAAAACAACAGATTTAAACTGGAAATCAATAACAGAAAGATATCTGGAAAATCCCCAAATAGTTGGAAATTAAACAACACACTTCAGAATACCCCATGGCTCATATAGGAAGTCACAAGGGAAATTAGAAAACATTCTGAGCTGAATGATGATGAAAATACAACAGATTAAGATTTCTGGGATGCATTTAAAGTGGTTCTTAGAGGAAAATCTATGGCATTAAAGACATATTAGAAAAGAAGAAAGATCTAAAATTAATGGTCTGAGCTTCCATCTTAAAAAAACTAGAAAAAGCAGCTAAAAGTAAGCAAGCAGAAGGAAGAAAACAATAAAGAGGTGAAATCAATGAAATTGAAAAACAGAAAAACCAGAGAGGAAATCAATTAAGTTAAAGCTGTTTCTTTTAAAAGACTAATAAAATTTGTAAGCCTTAGCCAAACTGATCAGAAAAAAGAAGGAAAAACAACCCAAATTACTAATAATCAAGAATGACATAAGGAATACCACCATGTATCCTATAGACATTAAAAGGATAATAATGTAATATTATTATACATAAACAACTTTATGCCCATAAATTGAAATATCTAGATGAAATAGACAAATTCCTTGAAAGACACAAACTACCACAGCTCACTCAAGAAGAAACAGATATCCTAATAGTCCTGTATTTTACTAAAGCAATAGAATTTGTCATTAAAAACAATTCAACAACAAAAACTCCAGGTTCAAGTGGCCTTACTGGCAAATTCTACCAAACATTTAAGGAACAAATAATACCAATTTAACGTAAACGTCTCCAGAAACTAGAAGAGAAGGAAATATTTCCCAACTTATTTTATGAGATCAGCATTACCCTGATACCAAAATTAGACAAAGACATTACAAGAAAAGAAAACTATAGATCAATATCTCTCAGAAACATTAATGTAAAAATCCTCAACAAAATATTACTAATCAACTCCAGTAATGTATCAAAATGATAGAACATCATAACCAAGTTGGTTTTATCCCAGGAATGCAAGGTTGGTTCAACATTTTCAAATCAATCAATATAATTCACTATATCAACAGACTAAATAAGAAAATCATATGATTGTCTTATAGATAGAGAAAAGCATTTGACAAAATTCAACATCCATTCATTATTTTAAAACAAACAAAATACCTCTCAGCAAATTGGAATTAAATAGAATTTTCTTAATCTAATAAAGGGCTTCTGTGTTAATTCTATATGGCTGCATAACAACCCCTAAACATAAATATCAAACATTTATTATCTCACAGTTTCTGGAGGTTGGGAATCCAGGTCTGACTTAGCTAGGTGCCTCTGAATCAAGGTCTCTCACAAGATTGAACTTATGTTGACAGCTGAAGGCTCACTGGAGCAGGGGTGGTGTGGGGAGATCTACTTCCAAGCTCACTACATGGTTGGCAGGATTCAATTCCTCACAGAGTATTGGACTGAGTGCCTAAGTTCTTCTTGGCTGTTGGCCTCCTCAGTTCCTTGCCACAAGGCAGCTCACAACATGGCATCTGGATTCCCTCAGAGGAAGTGAGCAGAGAGTACAAGAGGGTACCCAAGGTGGTAATCACAGTCTCTTTGTAACATAATATCAGAAGCCATATTGCTTCTTTTCCCATGTTATTCCTTAGAAGCAAGTCACTAGGTCAAGCCTACACTTAAGAGAAGGAGAGTACACAAGCGCATGAATACCAGGAGGCAGAGATAATTAAGGGCCATCTTAGAGGCTGCCTACCATAGCCTCTGCAGAGATCTAGACAACATCCTACCTAGTGGTGCAAGACTGAATGCTTCCCTTCTAAGGTCGGTAGTAAGGATGTCTGCTCTCACCACTCCTATTTGATATCACACTGGAGCACCTACCAAATGCAGTAAGGCAAGAAAAAGAAAGAAAAGACATACCAGTTAGGCAGAACTAAAATTGTCCCTACTTGCAGATGACACAACTGTCTACACAGAAAACCCCAATGAATTTACAAAAACCATCTAGAACTTGTAAGTGAGAAAACATCCAGCTGGCAAGTAAGCATACGGAAAACTGCTCAACATTAGTCATCAGGGAAACGCAAACTAAACCGCAAGGGACCATTACTCACCTACTAGAACAGCTGAAATAGAAAGGCTGAACACCAAGTGCTGGCGAAGGTGCAGGGTAATTGGAACATTGCTGGTAGGAATGTAAAATGTACAGTCACTTTGGAAAACATATTGGCAGTTACTTACAATAACAGGTACTGACTATATGACCCAGCAGCATCCTCTTAAGTATCATTTTCCCAAGAGAAATGAAAACATATGTTCACACAAAAGACCATGCATGAATGTTTATAGTGGCTTGGTTTACAATCACCAAAACTGGAAACAACTCAAATGTTCTTCAACTGGGAATGAATAAACAAACTATCGTCTATCCATACAGTGGAATATTACCCAGTAATAAAAAGGAATGAACTACTGATAAATGCAACAACATGGATGAATCTCAAATGCATTATGCTAAGTGAAAGCAGCTTAGCCTCAAAAGGCTACATAATGTATACTTCCACTCATATGACATTCTGGAAGAGGCAAAACTATGGAGACAGAAAACACATCAGTTGTTGCCATTTGCAAACAATTTCTGGGAGGTTCACAGAGCACCTGTGCCCCATCCCAGGACCCCATCTATATGCTACTCTTTTTAAGGCGCCAGCAATCCCTCTCGCCAGCTCCGGCTCCTTCCTGGCCCCCGCCCAGATCTGCAGCTGGCGGCATGCTGCTTGGCGCGGGGCCGGCCCCTGTTTCTCAGACAGGGTTCGGTTCTCTCCTCAGGGATTGCTTCCGGGCAAGCCCCCACCTCAGTGCCGGCGCGGGGCGGGGAGGGAGGAGAGGCCCTGCGGCAGTGCGCCCAGGGGCAGTCCCGTCCCGGCACGATTTCCCAGGTCGCTCACTGCCCCGCTGTGCTCGCGCCTGAGCGAGGAGGAGCCCGCGGAGACGGGCGGGCCCTGAGCTTCACTGCCGCAGAGGAAGGCCGGCCGCGTGGGCTCCACGGTCGGGGACCCCAGCCGGGCGGGCGGGCAGGCTGACCAACCCGTCAGTCACCGCGCCGTCCTCTCCCCTCCCCTCCCCTCCCCTCCTCCGCCGACGGGACACACGCGGAAGCTGCCCGTGCACCGGGAGCTCGGGTAGTGTCCGCAGTCCCCGGTGTGGACGCCTGCAGTCGGGGCGGACCTCCTGCAGGCGGGGGCGCGGGGAGGCGCGGGCGAGCCGGGACCTGCGGGCGGGGGCCCGTGGCCGGGCTGGGGAGAGCCTGGGGGTGGGGGCGGGTAACCGGGCCCGCTCCCCTCCCCTTCCCCCCTCCCCTCCGTCCTCTCTCCCCCTCCCTTCCCTCTCCCCCTCCCCCTTCCCTCCCTCCTGACTC